TTCTGCTATTACTTTGTTTCCAATTTTGATAGTCGGATCTATTTTTACAAGACTGTACAAAACACTGCACCATTTTTTATATTCACAAAATATATTTAAAATAACAATTTTAATTAATGTTTTTTCTTGATATAACTTCAAATGCTCATTATATCTGCCCAAATTGCATAATATTTTTGCGTCGAATAATGACCAACTGCACTTGCGTCAAATAGTAGCCAATCAAAAATGTGCACAGTTTACCTCGTCCCCTTCCTTCAGTGATTTTCCTCTCGCGACGTTACACTCCGACCTTATATTCCTATGTCCATGCACACTGGAAGTCGCACGATACTTACATCGCGCTTGCGCAAACTAATAGCCAATCAAATTTAGGCACACTTTACCTCGTCGCACCGTCCCGCAGTAGCTTCCCCCCCGCAACGATATGCTCGGTCCCTATATTCCTATGTCTATGCAAACCTCATGTTTAACCTAACCTAACCTAATCTGAGTTGGTGAGTAACACAAATGCATATTGTGTGGCGCGTATTTTCGCTGGATAGCGTTTGTGTTTATCTGATAAATTAATTACAAAAAAGAAACAGCAATTGGATGACACGTTGGTCATCCTCTATTTTTTGAAAGACTTACTTACAGCAATAAGTAAGAATGTTACAGAGCGTTTTGAAGTCAAAGTTTGGCTACGATGATTTCAAAAATGATATTCAGAAACAAGCTACTGTAGCTGTTTACAAAGGTTTTTATACAAAATTAATACTTTCTAGATTATTTATTCATTTTATCAGTCAGTGTATGTCTAACATTGCAACACGTACTTTTTTCTTTTAAGAATATATAGTCTTATGTTATCAGCAAATATTTATTAAATTTGTCAGAAAGAATTCGCAGAATAAATCAAACAACTTTTGATTTTTAGGAAAACAAGATGTATTTATATGCATGCCGACTGGCTCAGGAAAATCTCTCTGTTTTCAATTACCAGCAATAATGAAAGAACAAAAAGTTGCAATTGTTTTTTCACCACTTCTAGCTCTCATGAAGGTATTTTTCTTATATTATTTATATACATATATTTTTCTTTATGTAGAAGTTTTTGATGAAACAGAAAGAAATATATTGATTTAATTTTTATAGAATCAAATAGATTTTTTAGTGAGCAAAAAGATAAATGCCTGTTCCTTGAATTCCACTACATCGAGTAAAGAGAGAAATACAATCATGAAAGATCTCATGTTAGATTCGCCCAAGATTAAGTTATTATACGTCACTCCTGAGATGGGAGCACAACAGCATTTTCAGGTATCAATTTTTACAATTTCTTATATTTCATACATTACTAATAGACTATTTATACTTAGTTTTTTTTTTGTAAATGCAATGAATATGATAAATTATCAATTTATATTATTTCGTATTTTTATAATCACTACATGTTTAGTAATTAAGCTATAATATTAACTAATTTTAAATTATTTTTTGAAAGGCAATATATCAAAATTATAATTAAAAATATCTAAATTTTATTGCAATATATGTTTTTAATTAACTTAAAGGAAACTATAACTCAAATGCAGAAGAAGAAGATACTTTCTTACTTTATTATTGATGAAGCTCATTGTTTAAGTGAATGGGGTCATGATTTTAGACCAGCTTACAGACAATTGGGAGTATTTAAAAAATTGTGCCCCAAAATACCTGTAATTGCATTAACAGCAACTGCTGCAAAACAAGTATCTAAAAAATTGAAATAACAAGTATCTGAAATGTTATAGTTTTACTGTGTATATTATAATTATATATTGATTGTTTTAGGTAAAGGATGATATTCTCCAAAGTTTGCACATGAAAGATGCATTGATATTTTCCCAACCTGTATTTCGTCCTAATTTATATTATGATGTATGGTTTCTGGAAACATTAGACAAACCGTTTATACATCTACAAAAGTTTATTTTGGATGCATTAGGTCCTTTAGATAATTCTATTCCCACAGTGAGTTGGATTTTATTGTTATTATGTGGGAAAAATATTACAGATTTTTGATGAGCATACTATTTTTAGCACAAAAGAAATTGTGGTATCATTTATTGTAGAAAAAAGGAAGCAACTGAAATTGTTGCACACAAATTAACTCTTGCCGGCATTACTACGCTTGCATATCATGGAAGTATGTGTGATTTTGGTAGCATGCTGATTCAAAATAGTAAAAACGATGTTACTTTATTTTAATATTTGAATAGGCTTGAAAACTCAGGAACGTAATGAAGTACAAAATAAGTGGACCGCAGGTGATGTACCAGTTATTGCGGCAACATGCAGTTTTGGGATGGGTGTTGATAAAGGATCTGTTAGGTAGATTATTACATAATTATAGTATTTTTGGAAAGCAATATTATATGTGCTAAAAAAATATGTTTATTATATTAATATTGTATAGGTTTGTGGTTCATTGGACAGTACCTCAAAATATTGCAGCATATTATCAAGAATCAGGAAGAGCTGGCAGAGATGGCAATCCAGCATTTTGTAGAGTTTATTTTAGCAACGAAGAATACAAACCTATTTCATTTCTTATCAAGGAGGAAATTACGAAAAAAAATTCAGAGCTTGTGAAAATCAAGTGGCAAAATTTTGAAAAAAGCGTTGCATACTGTTTAGAAGCAAAGTACGATTTTATTGCATACAATACATAATTAGTAAAGATAAAATGCATTTATTTAGAGATTTTTAAGTATATATTTTTGAGTTCTAAAATTTTTAGGGAAAAAGAAAAATAATATATATAAAAATTAGAACAATAAAATAAATATAAATATATATTGATATACATATATTGAATAACTTCTATACATTAATATCTAAAAAAATAATTGCTTAAATATATATTTATAATATATTATTCTTGTACTTTTAGATGTCGACACGCGGTGTTTTCTAAGTATTTTGGTGATTCTCCTCCGCTATGCAAAACTAGATGTGACGTATGTAAAAACAAAGATGAAGTGCAAGCCAGAATTAATCAATTCGAAATGTGTCAGACAAAATGTCAAAAACCCCAAAGAAATTTGGGAACTGTAATGCGAACGAATTATGATGACGACGATGAAACGTATGGAAAATTACATGATTTATCAAATTTTATTTATAATAAAATATTCTTGTTATGTGTTGTAAAATGGTGCTCAAAAAATTTATATTTATTCAGTAATGGATTCAACGAGTCGGAAGAGTCGAGAGAGAAAATAATAGCGACAGAAAAGCGAGAAAGAAAAGAACTTATTATGGAGCAGTTTGCATTGCGACGCGGTGCGTCTAAAGAAGATGAAGTAAGTTTGCTATGAGCAAATATTTTTTACCTTATTTTGATTTTTATCTTTTATATTTATTCCTCACAGTTAAAACGACAGAATATCAAACATGCAAAAGTAGCGCATGTCCGCGCAGCTACTAGTACAGATAGAAAAATAAAAGGTTTAACGGTTCAAGTAAGTCATGCAATTCTTTTGCATGTAATCAGCAATATTCTCAATATTTTTATATGATTCTTTATTATTTTTAGGCACGGGAACATTTTTACAACGAATTAAAGACGGCGTTATCTGAAAATTATCAATGTTTACGTTCGCAAGTAGACAAACAGTTTCAAAAGAAGGATATTTGTGATATGGCTATTAATTTAGAATACAAAATATTTTGCAGCACCAAGGTGCCAAATAAATACAAATTTGATTCGTCTAAATTGGTATGTAACATTTTTTATACAGGGTGTCCCAGACCGAACGCATCGTACTGAAATGGCATTCCTGAGATCATTTTGAAATGAAAATCTCAAATTTTGGTATTAGAATTTTTATCTCAAAATTATCTCACGAATGTGCCATTTCAGTACAATGCGTTCGGTCTGGGACATTCTGTATATGTTTATACGTACATTATCTGTTAGAAAATCTTTATATATAAATAATTATCGAAATGCTTAAAGAATTTAACTAAATTATATAAATTTTGAAGAAAATCTAATATATAGAATTGCACTATGCAATATAAAAATTTATAACATTTTATCTGCTTTATAGATTTCGTCCATACGGAAATGTACTAATAATAATACTGTGTACGAAACAATGTGTAATTATAATGAAACTGAAATTTCTAACATAGAGTTCAACGATTCTAATAGCATCGATATGTCGAATAGTGAATTAGAATCTGATACAATCCAAACGGAATTTAGCATGAATGCTGCTCCATCAAATGCATGTAATAAAAAGATCTTTTCTTCCACTTTCAAAACTGCGTTAGAAATTAGAAATGAAGAAAAATTACAAGCATCTATACCAGACCGAAATAAAAAGTCGAAAAAATTAATTGTTGAAGATGTCGAAATAGATCAAACTAAAAATGAAATATGCCTTATTGCTGATAGTAGTACACAAAGTAAAGATATCAAGCAGGTGTCAAGTGGTTTCGTTTGCCCGTGGAAAATTCACGAGAGCAACACATATTTATTTAAATCTAGTAGGAGTTCCTCCAAATCAAAATCCAATACAAGTTTCTTTAAACCAAAAGTTCGCAGCAGTAAAGATAAGGGTGCAAAAAAGGCAGATAAAACAGTTTACGAACAAATCTTATCAGCAGGATCATCATCGAAGAAGAGTATAAACGAGATTTCGGATATTTCTCTTAAAACAGATTTGAAAATTGAGAGCGTTGTTAAAAATAAAAATGAAACTAAGGGTGACAAGAAAAGTGAGTTTGTGAAATGTCATAAAAACGAGAACATTTCTCTTGAAACAATGTCAAAAACTGTTGATAATATTGTTGATGTTAAAAGTACAGAGAAGACTAATATCAAAAATAAAAATAAAAGAGGTTGCGAAACTATAGAATGTTACAAGGATGATATAAAACCTGCTGAAAAGAAAAGAGCTGTATATAACGAATGTAACAATAAAACTAACAATTCTATATTGAATATAAATATTGATAAAAAGACTTCAGTTAATAAGATTGATACAGTGGCTGTTAGAAATACATTGACTAACATTAATGCTATAAATTTACCGATAACAAAAAAGGATAAAATAGAGAAACATCACGAAATGGAAGATAATGTAGAATTGAAGAGAAAAATGGAAGCTACTCAGTCAACTTCTTCAAAACATCAGGAAAAAAGCAAAAGTAGTAATATATTGAAAGTACCTGCAGACAAAGTTATGCAATTTAAAACAGCGGAAATTTTGAAATTCTATCTAATGAAATATTACCCATCAGAACGTATTCCAGATAGAGCAACATTCTCAAAAACTTGTAGAGAAATGCATTACAGTATGCTGAGAAAGAAAATATTTGGTAAGATAATTGAAAAAGTTTATATTTTTTATATAATTATACAAAGTACTTCTCATGTTATTAGATATTTTATTAGAATATAAATACTTTTTTTCAGATAAAGAAGGAATACATGACTTTGTTGTAAAGTATATGAACCAATCTTGAAGGTTATTTTGTTTTATATTTAATGTATTTCTATATTTTTTTGTTGGATAAACAACAGAAGAACAGTGCTATTTAGTCAGTGTATTTATAATTGAAATAAATAAAAAATTAATTTCTAATGTATCTACAATTAATAAATTTTAATGTATGTACAATGCTTTTAAGTTATTAAATCTATATATGTGATTATAATAATTGTTACTGTCCATTATTAATTTTAATTAAAATAGTTTAATTATTTTTTTAAATAGCTATCTTGTTGCCATTAGAATTAAAAAAGAATATATTGTTACAAAAAGGAAAAACTTTGAACGAATAATATTAATATTTTGGTCATTGTATTCTAGTTAAGTATCAATATATTTAATTATACATAATTTAAATTGGTGATATAAATTTTAAATATAAATATGTGTAATTTTATCTATGAAATGATAGGTAGCATTCAGCGGACTCAACAGTTGAGTAAAGTTACTAGATTTTCTGCTAAATGATGCTATTGATTTGTTGGCTCCAAAAGTAAGAGCCAATCACGTTTGACTGCTACTTAGCGGTTTGTTCCGCTAAACACGCCCATAGATAGCGCTGCCGAAACTTTTTTTTTATATTGGCAACATTGAATACAAATTGTCGTTCTGCGCTCTTTTTCGTGAAAAAGTTTTCCTCCAACGGACGCAAAACGTGAATACTTCACAATTAATCAGGTATTTTATCCATTAAAAGTATGTATAAATGCTAATTTCTGGTTGGGATGCCGATTAAAGTAGTAAACGATTGTCGGAATGCATTAGTTTACCGTGGATGTTTCCGATAAACGGCATTTTGCATAAATTCAACGGGCGCGGAAAATCGAGGGACACGGATCGAGGTTTATATAAGATATATTTCTCTTTTAGTATAAAAACGCGCAACATTATATATTTATATGATGATTTTGATGCGACTATTAAGACAATTGTCAATTGCTCCATTTGCTCTGAGTGCATGGAAAATTTCGCATGCATCACCGAATGTGTAACGAGCAATTACAGTTGCGTACGTGGACGCATTATGACAATTATAGCATAACTGGTTAGAAAAAAATATTATCGAAAATAAAATACATAAATTAACTTTTGTTCGGTAGTATGCATAACCTGCATGACTAACAACTTGTGAATAGCAAGAACATGCACCAAATCGTAGTGTGTTTATCGACAATGTATTAAACATGTACACAATTTTATCTATGAAATGATAGATAGCGCTATTAACATTTTTTTAAATATTGGTAATATTTATAAATTAGTGGAGAAAGTGGACATAGATCCCAGCGCTCTCTGTACGTTTTTCTCTCAAATAAAAAAAATATTGGCGACACTGAATACAAATCGTCATTTTGCGATCTTTCTTTCGTCGAAAAATTTTCTACGGCACGGAAGCAGAACGTGAGTGTTCCACAATTAATTATGTATTTTATCTGTTAAAAGAGTATGCAAATACTAATTTTTGGCGGGAATGCCGATTAAATTAGTAAACAATTGTCGGCATTGAATGATTTACCGTGGATGCTTCGTGGAAATTGGTGCATACTGGATGGCATTTCGTGCGGATTCAATTGGCGCGAAAAATGGAGGATGGAATTGAGGCGAATGGACCGAAGCCCATAAAAGGTATATTTCTAATATGGTGTAAAATATAATTACATATTTGTACGTGATGACTTTTATGCGACTATTAAGATAATCGTCATATCTTTCACTTTTGTTCTGAGTACAAAATTTTGTATTTATCGAGTACGTAAATTGACTTTTCTTTAATAGTATGCATAATTAACAACTAATTTCTGATTTACAGTGGTCATCGATTTTCTAATAGATCTAATGTGAGTAGTGGAATCTGCAGTGAGTGGAGCAAACTGCAAAATTTTTGCTGATGCGGAGTAGTTTAATAGTAAGATGGAATCTGCAGCGGAATCTAAAGTATACTATAATATTATAACTGGTGAGTATAATTATTTGCTGATTATTTAAATATATATATAATTGATACTCATGATCTCCAAACTGCTTGACCATTCGAATTTTCCAAACACTAATTATGATAAACATACATATATAATATATAATTACAATTTGTATTTATTAAATATTTTTATTGTGACTTTTGAAAATATTTTTAATCATATATTTATTAAAACATTTTAAAAATATTTATTAAAATTTTGAAATAATTATTTACGCAATTTTTTATATGTACTCATGCTTTAATCAAAATAATTCATTAAAAAAGATACAACAATCAACATACATAAAATGTGTGATTATTCATAATAATTAAAATATATAATAATATTTCAGGTACAGATGAGAGAACGTACTTAGCTAAGATACAACGATCGGTGAGTGAATCCATTATATTTGATTGATTATATAAAATTGATTAATTATGATTATATATAAAATACTGGGTTTCATTCAAATTACAAATCAATAATAATATAAAATTACTTTTTTCTTACTTTCTTTAAAAAGTTTTAAATTTTGTATAAACTACATGAGAAATTTATTATTTTTAAATTATAAAATTAAAAAATTTTGAAAATATAAATTATTTAAATATATATAGAAAAGATATATATAGAAATATATATAGAAAAGAAAATATAATAGATTTTTTTATTATTTTAATGTTTATTATGTCTAAATTTTAATCATGTCTAAAAATTCTTTTTATAAAATTTATGATACATATCACATTTTATAAACGTAAAAAGATGCTTCTTGAGATTTATATTATATATATGCAAATAATATTACAAAATTTATGCTTATTTTTAAATATTGTATTAAACATATAATTGTGAGCATTCATACTTAATATTTATTAGCAATTAACATTAAATCTATATTTTTTAATTTGTATTAATAAGGCAAGATATTTGAGAGCAAAATGTTTCTCATTGAGCTATTATGTCTATCTTTATTTATTTATAATATATTTATAGAATTATTATTGCTATTTCTCCAAATTATTGCAGATTTTTCTTACGTAAGAAATGACAAATATATATAAAGATGTTCCTTTTCATAGATATATATGTATATATACATATATATACATATATCTATGAAAAAGAACATATTATTTATATATATATATATCTATAAAGATCATGTTCCTTTTTTAAAAACGAATATGCTTTTATCTGTATATTTTCTTTATAATTTGCTTTTAAGTTATGTGCAATTTGCAGAATATAATATTTTAGTGCACATTGCATATTTGATAATTTATTAAGTATTTACATATTTACAATAAAAAAAAGATAACCTATTAGTATACAACTATTAGTATACAACTTAATGTTAGTACTTGGAGAATACGCTTTTAATTTTAAAATTTTATATGCTGAATATTATTCAATACCCAGACAGCACACATGTCCAAAATACATCCAAAGGATATCCGAAGGATATCCAGAGGACGTCTTGTAGTCCCAAAAACATCCTCTGGACGTCTTTTGGATATGTTGTGCTGTCTGTATATATGTATTTGATTAATAAGCAAATTAAAGTTTTTTTTTTAAATAGAAACAGAACCTAAAAAATAGAAATAATAGATAACAAGATAGATAACAAAATGAGAGAAAGACTCTTAGTAGTAACATTGGATAGACTAAATAGAAAAGATGTTTATTAAGCACGTTTAAACGCGTACCAATATGCACTTGAGAAAAGATAATCTTATCTTTTTCCTTAAAAGAGATAAATCATCAAGTTTACAATAATATTTTAAACGATTTTCGTTATTTTATCAAAGTTCCTTAATCTTAAAAAGTTATTAAATTACCCCTATTTCCCTAATAGTATGTTAAAAATGAAGAGATCGTTAATTAATGTTTATTTAATTGACATTTGAATTTTGTGAAATTACTGATATATGTATGAATATGTCTATACTGGCGTAAAAATATTCTTTTATGCCATTTCTGTATATATATTTTAAAAAATACTGTTTAAAAATGAATCATATGCAAGCAAAATAAGACAACGATAAATCTGATTACTATGATTTATCATAGTCATATAATATATATATGATTTATAATGTCACTAAATAAATTTTAATTGTATATATATTGTATTGTATATATATGTATTGTATACGTATTGTATATATATATATATATATATATATATATATACATACATATATACAATTGAAATTTATTTAGTGACATTTTGCCAGCAATATTTCTTGACGTTTGAAGTCTTATTGAGTGCGAGTATATGAAATATATTTGCACTGTAATTTTTAGAAATTTATGCAAAAAATTATAATCGTTTTTTAAGATTAATTTGCTTTCTTTAAAAATAATTTACTGTCGACAATTATTTAATTGCTTGAGATTATTTTAAAATTAGTTTACAAAAAACAAAGTAAAAAATCGAAGAAAGTAAAAAGTTATCATATGCGATATTGTAATATTAATGTCGTATTTTTTTTTTAATTTTATAAAGTTTACTTTAGATGATCACTAATCTACAATAGAATTCGAGATAGATTTCTGTCTACAATTTTATATGTTACATAAAAGAAATATTATATAAATATTTTTTATTATATAAAATTATGTATAAATTTTTATCTCGTATTCTGTTACAAATTATGAATCATCTAAAGCTTAAATTCTGTATTTTTATTGTAACAAACAGCACATAAATAGCACATTTATTTTCGCTGATTGCAATTACTTGCATACGATATCTGCAACGCAATAACTGACCTGATCACCGTGTTCCGGGGATTTCATTCTCTTAAAAACTATATCAGTCTATGCGTCGCATCAGTCTCACTACATCGAATCCATAAGTGCTTTGCTAACATAATTAATTTTGTTTCTTTCTTAATCAGAAGATTTAATGTCATTTTTTTACAAACTTAAACAAACTTAATGCCTTAAGTGTTTTCCAAAATAACATTACATAAAATCTTGAGATAATTTTGAGATAAAATCTTTATAGCAAAAATGAAACATTTACGGCGATACAGGCAGCTTGCGTCGCTCGTATCGTTTGACATATTTATAGCGAACAAACATCATGAATAAGAAAATAGCCTTAGTTCAATACTAAAATGAAAACATAAAGCATTGTCTGTTGAAACTGCACATTTTGATTTATAAATTTATATTGAAAGTTAACATTCTCATACTTTTAGGATTTTACTTTGTTACTTTTTGCACAGATTTTTTGTGCAAAAAGCAACAATTTGCGCTTTCTTTTTGGGGGGGAAAATCAAGCGGTATTAAATCACACGTTTCTGATTTCTATATTAAAATTCATGGCATTTTCCAATATTGGGCGCGAACCGACATGCATTTTACAAATCACAAATGGTCAGAATGTTAACGAAAAAATAATGAATAAATGTCTTGTCCGCTCTTTACGTTTCGACCATTAAATTTACATCGGCCAAATTTGGATCACCGAGAATCAGCAGCGAACTGTATGTGTCCATTTCTCTCGCTCCTAGATTATTCTGCTTGGCGTTCTGCACCCGTTCTCGCTTCCTTTTTATTTCTGTTTCCAGCCATTCCGTCGGCGATTCCTTTGCTTGATAAGATAATATCCTCACAACACTCCAGACGAGTAGCATCGCGCCCAAAAGAAATAGCAAATAGATCATTATTTCTTCCAGAATCGGTAAGAAATGTATGTAAAGCCAAAAACGCATGTTCATGTGCGTCGGTAGCTCGTACATTCCCTGAGAAAAGAGAAATTTCCTTATTATTGGCGTTTAATTAATACGTGTTAAATAATACGCGTATAGTTTTTTTATTTAAAAATCAGTTTCGGTTTCTATATATTCCAAGATGTTTTTAGAAGAATATATTGAAGTTCTACTTTAAATGTATTGATATTTGCAATACATACAATTTCGAACCATAGCAGCGGAAGCGTTAAATCGTCGAATTTTTCCACTCTGGCCAAGTGTCCGATATTTTGCAGAGCCATGTTGATCTGGAATCTGAATGCCAGATCTACTGGCGCTCCGGATTTTGGTTGAATGAAGAAGTAGGATTCATGTAGCTCTTTCTTAGGTTCTAGTCCTTCGACAGCTTCTAACAGTGACGGATCAGCTTTGTAAAAGTGCGGGTACGATAAAGCGATCGGAAATCCTGCAAGATATGAGAGAAATCTATTTATAGTATCATTTCAATGTGAACATATTTTTTATTCTACTTGACAGGTCTAATTTGAGAAGAATGTTCCGATAGATTAGGAATATATTATCCCTCACACGATTTATTTCTTTCTAACTTTCTTCTTCTAATATTTTAATCTCTATGAATTTCTTACTTGTTACAGATAGATTTTAAAAATTAATTTTTATCAAGATCTAAGATTTAAAATCTCTGGAAATCGTATGTGATATTAATGGATTAATAAATAAAAAGGAATATTAGACAAATTACTCAATATATGAATAATAAATATTTTTCAATAAATATATTCACACATGTTAAAAAATTATTTACATAATAATAAATTTATTTAAATATAGCAATATATTTATTATTCATAGATTTTCTTGAATGTACTAGTCGAATATGTTATTCGCTGATTCTTGCACGCATGCTTTTATTTATTTTTTTTATTATATTCCTGCTATATTAATTATACCATATTATAAAATCATATTATACCATATTATACCATATTATAAAATGTAAACATTTCTAACTAATAGATAAAACTGAAGGTAGATAGGATTGAAATTTATGACACATAATATATAAATTAGCAGCTCTTACATTACCATAAACATTCACATAACATTCTCTATTCGCTGACCCACATGTGCTTCAGAATAGAACTTATATTATTTCTATGTAAATTGAAAATGAAAGTAATAATTATGAAATGTTAACATATAACATAAAGTCTATGTTCTCGAATAGTAAACGTGTCAATATAATTATCTTATAATTCTTCTTCTTTACTTTTCATTGTATATGTATAATTTCGAAACTGATTTTTGTCATTAATTTTGAATCAGTAGGCAATAAAAATAGAGGAATTTTGCGACGATAAAATCACCAGATTATAACGCGAGGCGCGAAATGTTGATGTAATGTTCGCGATGAATAAAATGTTCCCTGTTGCTCATTACTCACTGTCAACAACAGTTCTTGGTTATTATGACGTAAGTCGATGTGACATAGTATTATTATTATCATAAATGTGTCCGGCATGTCTTTAATGCACGATTAAGCTTGTTGCGTTTTATCGGTTGCAAGTGCATGTTGTACCGAGTTGGCGAAATCGCATTGTCGCATTGCGTTAATCCAAAAGATGCACGGTGAGCGTTCCGAATTTCTTCGCGGTAACAAATGACTCTAGGCGTGAATAAATAATCGCCAATCGATTTACGGGCTATTTAGATGCAATTGCTATTTTTTATCTACACGCGTCTCGAATTGACACTGATTTTTCTTGCAACATGACTAAAGCAATCGTAATCTTGCAACACGATTTCAACCTAGAAAAGCCGGATAGCAGCAACGAGTAACATGCAATATGAAGTTTTGCGATGCAGATCGAAAAGCTTATTTCTATAGAAGTGACATGCATTTGATGGCAGAAATTGGAAAGTATTTTATGTGTAGTAAATTAAACAAATCAAAAGTGATAGCACTAGGTTTCAAACAATTAAATATACTGATTTTTTCACAAAAATATATCATTTTGAATTGCAGCATATATACTATATTAATATCTTCCAATAATTACTATCCTTATTACATAGGTATAATCCGTTGTTTGTTGAGTATATTAATTAGCATGAATATCTTACCATAATAACAATCGGTCACGTCGATTAAGCCAGGTTTCAGACAAAAACCGCGACGACAGAAGCATTTATTCTCTGGATTGATTGCCCCGTTGTCTAATTCATTTTCCATAAACGTATACTGGTACGTGTATAGGCCTTTTATCACTTTCTCTCCAGTTCGTATCTTTAAAAAGAATATTATATACATATTAAGAAATATATATATATATATCTTTGTTAAAAAAAGCGACATTTTTAATCTCTGAATTTTGAAACGACAAACAAGTATGCATATTATAATGTTATATATATACAGAAAATAATATCACAATTTCTCAATAAAAAATTTATAAGTTCTATAATATTAAATTTTATTTTTGCTTAAACAAATAGGAAATTTTTCATGAAACTAAGCTTGATTTTATTTTAATAATTTAAATTTCAATTCAAGGATTGATTTTTTAAAAATATCAATTTTTGTTGAGGAAACATTAATGTTAAATTGAAAAGGATGCAATTGCAAAAAATTATGCAAGAACAATTTACGGATATTCTGTAAAAGTGAAAAAGTTAATAACAGAATATTTGCACATGAATCGCATGACTCAACGAGAAAACTTATGGGCGGATGCGTTAACCATTTGGTCAAGATAACTGCAACAACCGAAATTACCATTCGTTCGCTTCGGCAGAGGCTCTTGCGAAAGAAGAGAAGCGTGTCGTTAGGTTTGATGTAGCTTGGAAACTTAACGCCGTCGCTCGCACCATGCACATTTGCGCATGTACCAGTCCACTGTGGCAGGTTCACATCTCCATTGTACTTGTCGATCAAACCCGACAGTCGAATATCAGTCTCTCCCGTGTAGATAGTTTCAAAGTCACCGTCGAAATCGTACATCTGCAAAGCGCGAATTATCAAAAATCTTACATTAGCTAAATTTATATCATTAGAATAACATTATATATAAGAAAGAGATAATGAATTTACGTAGAATAACCAAAATATTATATTTTTTAATTAATTGCTATAAATAAGTTAGTTTTGGATCAACGTTTTATATATTTTCTTATAAAATTAAAAGAACTTGAACAAAAAAAATAAAAAAATAATACAACAATTTTTATTCAGGCTAACTTGGGCAAAAGTATTTTGTGTGAAAGTTAGATTAAAAATTTTATTATAAATATTTTAAAAAATTTAGAGACAGGAATATATAATTAAAAAATTACTTAGTTATCACAATTACAATATTATTATAGATTACATAAAAAATTATTTTTTGAACTGTTTCTTACCCTATCAATTAATCCCAGCTTGTCGAATTTAATCCAGGCAGGCATTAGATGATTTCCGAGGGTGACTAGAGTTGATTGGTAGCCGAACATGAACTCACGTGCGGTCATTTGAACTAGAGGATGACTGTTTGTTTGACGGATAAGCATGTTAAGTCCCCATCTGGTTATGTACGAAGCGTCTTTCATCACGTTCGTGATACTCTATAATCATAGATAAAAATCGTAATTGTTTGGTGTAAAAGTAAGCCAGAATGATAAGTTAACCATTACTTATTTCATTAAAACACATGATTCCCACAATCTTTTCGCATAATCTCATTGCATTAACAACATGCAATTATATTTCTTATTACTCATTGTTTGCGTTATACATTGACATGTGAAGGTTGACAAATTATTTCGTTATTCTTCTCTTAATCTCATCATCGCGTTAACAAATTAACGGTAATCAGAAGATAACTATCATTATTGTACTATCGGTCATCGATACGTATATAATTAAGCGGCATTATGCAATAGTCAATTATTTGATAATAAAAAAAGTAATTAATTACATACATAACTAGATAGACAACATAAAATTTTATATTGCATTATTGGTTCAATAACATGTTGTCTATCGTCAGCCTATCATTCTAATATACAATGTCGCTCTTTATCGAATTAAGAACTACGTATTAATAGTCTTCAACAAAAGAAAGGATAAATGCATCTCGATTATTCCAAGTTCCTCTTCATGCGGTTGCCATGGTCAATGACTTTAATGATAATGGAAGTAGCATGTAATAAGTAATGATATATCGAGTTAATGGTCTCATTTTTTACAAAGTTCTACGATAATTGCGTCATGCTTTATGCTTTTTTATTGCGCTTCAAATTGACTTTTACATTAAACAATATTAAGCACAAAAAGTTTTGTGTGTTTATTTGCAAAGAATAAATTTTTCCACTAATTTTTTAATAAGAAAATACAAATTTTATTTATCATTTGGAGCATTATAAATATTATTAATAGCCTTCCACAAAAAAAAAGAATAAATGCATCTCGATTATTCGAAGTTTTTCTTCACGCGGTTGCCATGGTCAATGACTTTAATGATAACGGAAATAGCATGTAATAAATAATGATATAGTGAGTTAATGGTCTTATTTTCTACAAAGTTCTACGATAATTGCATCACGCTTTATGCTTTTCTATTATGCTTCAAATTAAAAATTTAATTTAAAAAAATTTACAAATAAAGATATATTAAATAAGTTATAAATAAGGCGCGGATGTTCGTGCACGATCCCGTGTCGCGCGCAGCGGTACTCTGCGCGCGACACGGGATCGTGCACGAACATCCGCGCCCTAGTTATAAATTAATTAACATATAAACGTATTCTCAGTGGAAAAATTTTCTTGTTAATATTATCTATTTTTTTTATTGAAAAATATAAATCTTAATAGGTGATAATAATTAATGTTAGTTTTATCCAATTTTTATTTTTTTTAATCTTAAAGAACATCAATACAATTCGACTATTGACAGTCTACCACATGCAATAGAAAAGCTGAATGTAAACGAACGCTTTCTCTCGTGTGACCTTTTCCGAATAAACAGATAAGGGAGCGTTTATAGCATATCTATTACTTTTAACTGACGGCTTCACGATTTGTATATCCGTAAAGAATGTATATATTGCTCAAGCAAATTCTTCGCGAAACGCAGTTCACTGCACTTCTCATTGAATGAATAGTAAATTAAATTAAACGCTGGTAGTTCGTAGGCGCAATACTTCAATCTCGCCGGCGTAAAAGGCAGATTTATTTAGTGCGTAAGACGAGTGCACACTATTATTATATGTCAAGTGGTTTCGCATTAGAATATTTTTTTCTAGAAAAAATTAGCTATTTCTTTTTCAATTGAAAAGCAAATGTTTATGACACTTTAAGATACTTGACTTGACAATACATTTAATAACCACGTGTAATATCGTGATTTATGACTGGAATATAATATAATGCATCTAAACAGACGGTAATTTATTATTAGTTTATTACTAATTATTACTAATTAGCTATTTATATATTAAAATTTCTTCTAATTACGTTTGAATAAATTATCGAAAATTAATTTAAATGTCTGTCTATGTTCTAATAATTTTTATGCATAATATGATTTATTTATATAATATTTGCATCTCTGTTTTTGTACAAAAAATTAATTACTTGATATTTATAAAAGTATGAAGAAAATTACGCGTTAATTTATTTGTTTAAACATGACAATATAAACTAAAAATAAATTCTTTATGTGTTACGTATCATTAAATGTAGATGCTATATTTGTTTACCGCTGTCGGCAGAATGGAAAGCACTTAGTTGTTTTTGCATTAATTTATAATAATTTGCATAATTGTACAATAACAGCAATTATTTCTCAAGATAGTCCACTAATGGGTGTAAATGTGTTTTTAAGGTGCAACATATTAGATCGCATATTTTTCCTGTTGCATGCTATGAAAAGTTTTACGATCGTGTAATACAAGATACACGTTTCCTGTATTCATTTGTATGCGCAAATGTGATCATATACCATAGAATTAGGTCTTAACGCAATTGGTTCTAATTACCGTTTAATTATAGCGCAAGCTTAATGATCGTCTATTTAATCTTTATATGTACAATGGTCTTATTCAGACGTTAATGAGATTATCAAGAGTACGTTTCAAGATTCTACATGAAATTGTTTCACGTAATCGGCCACATTTGTTTAATGATCTATACATGTAAATATTTGATAGGAATGTGTAGTATTCTTATTTTGTTATTTATTATCTCAATAGAAGCACGTTATTTAATATTGATAATTTTGACAATCTTGACAATGCAAATAATGAAAAAATTAATGCATGTTTACGTGTTATGTTACGTGTGAAATGCAATTCTTTCAAAAGATATCGTAATGTGTTCTTGTTCTTGAATTCGACGTGCAATTATCTTGAAAAATATGTACGAGTTTTTATGGTAAAATACATTTAATGGAATTAATTATGAGGAAATTAAGAAAAGTGAGTTAATGTTGAAAGAACGATATATTACCGGTCTTATTCAAATCAACCACGCTTCTCTTCTCGCTTCTTCTCGATTTTTCGATCTAAAAACATCCGCGTTTCTTAAGAATGCATCCACATGTCGCGAAGTTTCTTATGACGTAGATATTGGATATCTCGGGTGATGCAGTATCACATTTTAGAAAAATTTACATGATGATCTGTAAAATCTGTGAATACTTAATTATCGATTATCTACTATTATGACAAATATAAAAGATAGGATACAAGAATTTATCGCTTGCATAATATATGATTTGAATTTTATAATTATATAATACCTAAAGAACACGCGAAGAATATATTATTCTTAAAATAATATATTTTTTTAGAATTTTTGCACCGAGAGATCATCTCTAACATAAATTATCAATCAATAAGGATGCATAAATGTTAATTATCAAATGTTGCTTGTTATTTTATTAGCTATAAATTATTAACTATGCATCATATAGAGATAAAATAGGTGCGCGGAATATCCGACAAGTTTTTTTTTTCTTTTTTTAACTACAGTTGATCGTTTTCATGTATAAGTAAATACCACTCAAATATAACATAAACAGTTATATTTTGTTAAACATGATTAAGAATATAATAAATATTATTTTAAAGCAGCTTACATGTTATTTAATTTTAATTTAAAATTGATATATAATGATTAATAAATGATAAATTAATAATAAATGTAATAAGCGAAAGTGACGCTTCATCAAAATTACAATAATAATGATTTATATCTGTCTGTTTTAGAGATTGCTTATTTATTTTCTATAAAAATTATATTAGAAAGGATCATATATTATAAAATAGCGAATAAGTTTACAAAATCGTGAAAATAGTGAAAAATCGAAATAAACGCGTGAAACGCGTGAAACCAATGGATTATATTGCACGTTTATAGACAATACAATAAAATATTTAACAGAATGCGTTTCTTGAGAAAATATTATACGGTTGCCTAATTGACTGATAAATTATCGGTCACTTGCAAAAGTATGCATATTTGAGAAAACGCAGCGCGTATTACACAAGAACGGAATGTGTCGCGCATAATAAAGATTCTTGAATCTCGCCAAGATTGAAATCCCTGAGAAAGACTTTGTGGAGTCAGTTGTAATTAATGGTTTGCTGTTGAAATTTACGATGCGCTAGATCGTATTGGATAAATAAAATACTATTAGAAATGTTGAAGAAGTTTGAAACTGCAATGAATTTCGGTTGCATCAGTGTCGATTAGCAATAACTCGAGATTAGCTAGTGCAGATAGTCGTTACAGATGTAGTAAGCTGATGATTAAGATTCGTACTTCTCACATATTACAGTTGAAATGTTTCTGAATTAAATTTTTCGGAGCACCATTTTTTAGAATATATCTGTTAATTTTTTGTTATCATAACATTGTATGTGATTAAAGATTTTACTAAATTCAATATGTTAACGATTAACATTAAAATTACAAGCAATATAAAAGTAAATTATTTTTGTAAATTATTAAGTTTATAAATGTAAAATATTACAGTTCTTACGTACCATAAAATATAAACATAAAAATTTGGATATATTTCAATATTTAACAAATATTTAGAAAGGTCTACTGGTATGAGTATTGGAATATTTCTTTGGTATTAAAATTATTATGCCTCAACAAAATTTTTGATTTAAGAATTCTTGCACGGATAAATTATTGCGTTTTTGTCGGTTTCTAGGAAAATATTTATTCCTACATATCTAATCGCGCGATTTTTATATGTGAGTTATGGTATTGTTAGTTATTATTTATGCATGAAATATTTTTATGTTTGAGTTTTTTCTATTGCCGAAATTATGATCGATGTGTTTGATTGATGTATCGATTAATTGAAGTTTTTCTTTTACACATTGTCATAATCATCACGTTTCGATTTGTGCGTTATATACACGTCATATGCACGGTATCGTATTACATTATACATTTGATAAATTTTCGGTAATCTTACACATTGAGTCAGACGTGTCGAACGTGTCACAAATAATACATAAGGCATGGCCTTTGTTCAATTATACTGTTCTTGATAATTAAACGTTTCTTCCAAATTCGTCGAATCTCTTCCTCGAATAAGCATGTAAAAAATTTCATTTAAGCCTTCCTTAACTTATAGTGCAATAAGCATTTATTAATTGCGGCCTATATTCTATTTGAAATTATAACACACATCATACTCATGGTTTTCATGTTTTATTTAATCTAAAAGTTCAGAGAATTCTAAAGCTTATTATAAAATATCTCTATGAAATAGAATTTAATAGTTTATTTGTATTGGATATTCCAGAATTAGCAAAAAAATAATATCATTAATTTTGACATCAAATTGATATCACTTTTCAATTAATCAAGTGAAATGTGCAGAAATTGTTGATAAAATCGCTGATTAGATTTTTTTTTAAATAGAAATCGTTCCTGCTTCGAATTTTTCGTTTTTAACAGAATTGGCACGTTCTTCGACTAATTGCTTACACTCGAACGTGCTCATTGATCAGATCAAATGTGCACGATATATTAATTTTTTCATTTATTCACTTGATAATTTTTATGCGAGATCTTGCTGCGCCATTTACGATAAAAAAAAAATGATATTATACTTACGAGTAGCGCGATGTTCGGCAATATCAAAAGATCCTCTTCTGTGCCGTTGCTCAATTCCGGAATGTACGTTAGTGGATGAATCGGTACCGCCGATAACGTACCATTGTCATTGAAAACTACATTCGCATGTTGGAACGTTTCTCTGAAATGAAATGTATTATGCAATAATATTAGCATCAGTCGCGTATTTAGCACGTCTTTATTTTGCACACACATCTTTTATTTGTCATAACACAAGATTTTTTACACAAGCGATCGAACATGTGCAAACAAATTTTTATTAAAATTATGTGATCGATAAAAGACATTTGAAGATAGAAAAAAAGGATTGCATTTGAATGCTGCACACACACATTATTATTTATATTAATTATTGAAGAAATATGATTGATTATTAACTTACAATATAATATTATCGGAAAATAATTTTGCAAGAATGTGATTAATTAATTTTAATGTACAAGTAGAGTAATTTTAATTATTAAATATTCTAAAATATTCTAAATTTTATTCTTTTAAAGTATTACCGGTTTATATTTTTCCTACTGTTTAGCTACTTCTCAATCAATATTAGTGTAATTTCACTATCATCTTTTTTTTATTTCTTTATTGTTAATTTTCAACAAGCGTGCGTAGCACGCTTGATTTTTATCAAGCGTGCGTAGCAAAATTCAGTTCAAAGATTGCTGACTGATAAATAAATAGCAACTTGCAGAATTTTCGAGAACGATTCTTTAAGCATAATGATTGCATAGGTGCAATAGAATATAATGCAAATTTATATCGGTTGAATGTCGTAAAAAAGAAAAGTAGTACGCAATGAAACTACTACGACAACGGTTATATCTCGGAAGGTCAAGCGTACAGTCACACAAACTAGATCTCACGTCAACTTAGTAATTATTATTTACGAGATGGTTCACCACTTCCTTCACACGCTCTCTTGAATTAATAGTTAAGCAACCTCAGCTTTCCGCTCTTTTTCTGAACGCATAATTCCAACTTTGCTGGGATTTTCCAGCATTAGTTGATCGATTAGTTGGTCGATTCGTTTTTTACATCCGTTTTAATCAAGTTTTATGAAATACCAACGATGCGTAATCAAATGCATTTCTTCGAAAGGTTACTTGAATCATAATACTTATGTAAATAAAACAAGGAATAAAACAAGAATATCTCCAATTTGTAAATTTATTTTATTGAGAGTTTCGGGAAATAAAAGAGAAAAATAAATGCAATCGCATACTGGTATCACAAAAAGACCGCGTGTTTGGATCGCAATTGAAAAATACGCGTATACGTTTAAATTATTTAATGAAAAAGTGATTTATATCTGTTTCTAAAAAAAGAGAACAAAAAACAAAATTATTATTACAAAATCGAATTATTATTTTACTTACTTATATACGTAAGGACCAGTTTCCTGGAATCGCAGCTTGCTGTCTCGGCCATCTAAATACTCGTCACGATTTGTCACGTTAAACAGGTAGACCTTCAGATAGAGATCAACTTCAGGTGTCCGCCACATCTCGAAAATCTCGCCACCGTCGCCGAATGTTGACTTCCAATTAAAGAGCAATTCGTAGGGTCGGTATAGTAGTAGGAAGCAACCAGATGCGAGACTGAGCAAGCCCAGAATCATTAACCTGAAGGTATCTGCGGGCAAAATGGGCGAGGATGTTAAATTGAGGATTGTTGAGGATATGCTGAAATTATAGCAAAAGCACGAATAAAAAAATTTAGTGTATCTCGTGGCAGTGAAAATACCTCTAATCAACCACCGTTCTAACGGTGGTTCACAACGCTGCTTCTATGATTATTTCTCATATCGCCTCTCCGTGTATACTTAATTCAACTGTTTTTATTTTTTTGAAATTATCATACATATGTAATGACACGATTTACTGTATAACAATTTCAAGATAATCAATATTCGTGTCTTTGTATCATTAATCTTTACTATCATTCAAGATTTCCTTTTTTAATTGTAAAAAGTTTCATCACTTTTACATCTTAGAAGAATAAAAAAGATATTCTCCTATGTAAAAAGTAACACTATCAATTCAGTTGACTTTAATAGATTAGGATACTAAAACTTTATTTGCCAGGTTCGTTAACATAGAACTGTTATTTAACGCACTTTTCTTTTTGTCTTATTGTGTTTACAAATTTACGGCTTTCGACCTCAGCAACTTTGGTCACGGATAAACAACGATTACACGAACGTTAAAGCAACTTTCACAGGTCTCTTGAAATTGCACAATTTGTGCTCGCCGAGAAATTCTCTGCTCTTCTTTGATCGATGAGGCGCGCTGCATTGCGACTTTTGCAGTGGGCATTAGTGCGGTTAGAATAATAATGAGGGTCAGTGAAGTAAATAGCAATAATCTCTCAATCGTCTGTTGCGCGATTCCGTAACTTTTTGCTCCGAGAATAAGGAACAATGCTCAGTTGTTTACTCGATAAATTAAGCAGGCACGTGCTTTGAAACTGAGATCTTTTTACTTAGCTACTTCGTATAATAGCATAAAAAAAATCAATAATTATCACTTTACTCATTAATATAGCAATCGATATTAATTGATGTAAAAATTACTTATTTATGTATGAATGTAGTATGCATATAGAAATATGAATAAGCTTTAGAAATATGAATAATTTATGAATAAAATTCTTTGATTTGTCTACAAATTTTGTATTTTTCAATTTTTTTGATTGATAGAACTTTAAATTTTTAGGTCATTCTTATTATACTCTTTTCTTTTATTTTAATATACATTTTAAATATCCAAAATATAGTATATAAAATAATTTATTTGAATCCAATAATTTCTGCTCTTTTATGAATAATGTTTTGCAATCTAATAAACATAAACAAACATAAAAATAAAGTAAATGGTTTAATATTTCTTAATTTAATTTGGTTCTGTAAAAATATATTTTTGTAAGAATTTTTTATTTTTTAAGATATCTGATCTTTGAAATAGTATCTAGATTCAGTGAATTTAAATGAATATTTTTCAGTGATTTTTAATTATTCAGATCTTGTCTGATATATGCGCGTCTATTGTATGTACAAAAGCGTACTACGCAAATCCTTGAAGTATTAAAATTTATCACTAGCCGCCAGGCACATGACAAATTTGCGTATTATTATGTTACATTTTAAACAGATATAGGAATATGACATAAGGAAAGACCTTGGGTCTCTGAGATTATAAACGAATGTGTATTCCATTTCCGTTATTTTCAGGGAGAACGAAATGTCACATCTGATCTCTTGTATGAATAATTCGTCTTTTAATATGCAGACATTGTCATATGGGTTTAATATATGTAGCTTGTTTCTTTACACGACTTCTTGTTTTAAACATTATGCGGAAGATTAATAGGTTTTTTTCACAAAATGCATGTAGCTCTTTTACTTCCTGTTCTTTTAAGTTTTTTTATAAGCGCATCAATTTTTCGCAAATTTAGATTGATTTTGTTTCTCTTAACGCAAATATTTGTAGTTCTTTTATGGAACGTTCGATTATATTATTTCTTTAATCATACGCATGCCAACGAAATAGCCGAGGAATGTGTGTTCGAAGTGAGTAATCGAATTTCCGTGTTAAAGACTTTGTGGCCGATAAATCACATCTGTGCCGGTTGATGTGCGGGGTGCTTCACGCGTAATATCTCTATGTTTTATTGACATATTATAGCACCGACTTATGATGTAGTAAAGATACGTGTATAGACATAAGAGATAAAGATTAAAAATTGTTAACATCCGCGATTATAATTACAAAAGCGATTGCAGTTACTATAAGTAGTGAGAAACACATTGTCGCATCTAAGCATCTTTTTGCACTTTATTAGCGTGAATGACTCTTAATGATAATTGAACGCATATTGCGGCGCTAAGAGTGTTATCCTTTTTTTTTTATCACGCGATGTGCATTCTTATAGCGATCATGCCGTAGTCATTAAATAATCATTCTATAAATCATATTAGAGTCATGTTGTGTATTGTGGAAATAATAGGAGAGATTTAATCTCGAACTTGCACGCTCGTGCGAAGGTCACACATCACTTTGAAGTACATATCAATATCTTGAAAAATCAGATTATCTTACCGCGCCCACATGTATCATTCATAGCGCCATTCATTTGAATAAAGTTTCATAGATTGTAAATAAAAAATATTTTTGTTTTTATCGGAATCATATAAGCTTGAATCAGAATATCAATCCGCGCTACATCAACGCGGATGATATTTATATATTTATATTTTTATACCTTAATGATTTTTTATTTAGCTAAATTTTAAAGTTTGTACTTAAAAATTTTTAATATTATAAAACTGAAAGAAATATATATTAAAATGTTAATTTCCTGTCAATTACTCACATTTGTGCAGTACATAAAAATTTTGTGATTATTACACATTTTGCATGTATTGCAAATTTTAAATACATGACTTTACATTTACGAGCAATGTACTAGGGTAAATCAAAAATTATCCGCAATATCCGAATAATGTTTTACTTGAAAAAATTGCGGATAATTTCTGACTTACTCTGGTACGTTGCTCATAAATGTAAATTTTGCATTTAAAATTTGCAATATATGCAAAATGTGTAACAATTACAAAATTTTTGTGTACAAATTTGAATAATTCCTCTTCGACAGGAAATTAACACGCGGTTTACATTTTGGCGAACAGTTTTTAATTTTACATAAATAGTAAATTATTTAATTAATATCATTAAATCACGTTAAAGAAACCTGTCGATATATGTATATTGCAAAAGCATAATTAGAAGAAAGATTTATTGTCAGGTTTATGTGCTCGCGTATAAAGTTGATAAACTCTGTACAAAGTACTGATTACGTTAAAATAATGATTAAAGGCAAAAACCAGTGGACGTTAAGTAAATGTCTATATGTCCGCGCAGATGTAATGCTATCTCGTAGTTGCCTAGACATAGAAAGACCGTGTTTTGCTCTCGCCTATTGCAAGATCGCCGTTAACATGCAGCTGTGTCGTAATAATTTTCCGGCATCGAGCCGTAATCGAGACGAGACTGCAAATGCACGATCAAATAGAAAGCGCATAGCTGTGTCGCGTTCCTGTATTCTACATTGTTTTACACTTAGCAGACGCGCACAGCAATTAGAGCTATTTATGCGCGAGACATGACGCTCGTATCAGTCCAACCAATTTTTATTAATTTTTTAAGATGATAACGTTACAGTTTGTAAATTTAAATATAAGATACAGGATTTAAGAAAGAGACGAGAAGTCAACAAGTAAAATGTCAATAATTTCTGCTTACTAAATTAACGACTATTAATTCCATTATCTATGAATGCATATTAAGTTCAAAATGAGAGCTTGTATATAATTGAAAGTGAGTATATATAAATTCATTAATTAACAACGTACTTAATTAATTTCTATTATTTTGTAAAAATATTTAAATTTTGCGCACTAGAGTTCACTGATAGTTTATCTATGTTCAAGATTTTCGCAAGCTACTAAATATAATCTAAGAAAGTGAGTTTCTCTCGTGCACTTTAGCCCGTTATTGCCTCACGTCCTACCATTTGCAATAAAAATCAATTTGATAATACGCGAAGTTAGTCGTCGCCGTCAGATTTTACTACCGCTTGATTTTATCTACGCGGTTTGCGGTAAAGTGCTGCTTCAACATGTAACATGCTGGTCCAGCGGCGTTTCACTTATCTCGCACTCTTTTATCGCTTGACAATCATCGTCATCGGGCGCGTTTTGTACGCGATCGCATTCTTGTCGGCATTCTTTATCTACGACGGGCATTGCGTAAATCCACAAAAGGTGGCATTACCGCGCAAGAGTACCGTTTGCATAACTGGCTACTCGGTAACTCTTTTAAGAGTACAGCTCTTCGTCGTTCCTGAAATACCATTTTCGACACTTTGTTAGTGACTACTAATGTATCTGCGTTTCTTGTGCGTACTTTTGTAACGGCTGTCGTCGTAGGCGATCTTTTCATGCTTTCCCCTTTTGTAGCATTTTATCTTACTTTCGCAAAACAATTATCGTTCTTTTTGCAAAGCAAAGATTGGAGACTATATAATTATAATGTGAGTTCAATTTTGAATACAATATATGTAAAAAATTTGCTTTTGTATTTTATATTAAATGTCATATTTGAATTATTCTGAATAATACAATTTTAGTCATATTATTTTGCTTTTTGCATTGTCTTTAATTTCTAAATTATAATTTTACTTTACAATCAAACATTAAAGCACTTATTTATTTAATTACTTTTGTTCAATAACAGATGTTTTCTTTTTTTTATAATTAACTGCTTTCTGTTTTACAAAATGCGATCTTATTAAAGTCATAAGACAATTGAGCTGCCGACTAACTGCATAGCTTTAAAAATACGCAATCATCGAAACAAAGTGTGTGAAAAAAAAATTTAAAATAAAATAGACAATTATTGAACTGGTTTTGAGGTGTACGATAAATAAATTCAACATTGGACGCTACGCAGTAACATTCTGGATATTTCCGTCGATCAATTTTGTCTTTTTGCTTTGCGGCAAACCGGTTCTTCAATCAAAGTTGCATTTTTCTCGTTTGGATTTAGGTTTTCAATGCCATCATACGTGTGAGG